ATTACTCTATATCATATAAAATAATATTTTAAGACTTTTATTGTACTACACTACTATTTTTAGATGTAAAAATAAATTTTTGTGTAGATAAAAGTTACTGTATTTTCCAAATCATTAGATAAAAAATCTTAAATAAATATTCAAAATGTGCATATATAATCTTAATCTCTATAATATATAAAAAGTTACATGGTGAAAGTCTTACCAATACAAAATTATTTGTATTTTTCATTAATAGAAATGCAAATTTGATCACAAAAATATCAAAAATATAAAATCTTTGAAATAAAAAATAGGATAAACATTCCTTACAACAAGACGAGAAAATTTCCAATAGACTCGACGGACAAAAATCGCTCCACGACCTCCAAATCTCGATTTCCTTTTTCTCTCTCCTAACTTTTTCAATCAAATGCTCTCTATTGCTAAAATCCAAAAGGGGAAAATGAATTTAAAAGAATATGTTAATGCCATAAGATATTTTATAATAAAATAATATATTATATTGATATAATATTTAATTTAATCAATTTTTTAGTATAAAATTCAAATAAATCATTTCAGACTTAAAAAATTACAAAAAATAATTCATTTTTTTTAAAAATATTAATAAAATTAGTTTGTAAAATGGACACCTAACAATCCTAAAATCCTTACTTGTCCTATAGGTACCTATTTTTTAAGGGTTTTCACAAGTGCCCAAAATTACGAAAAGATTTGTATAAGTAAAATACCACAATCTCAATTCTATGGCAAAAATGGTTTGCACTTTAGAGTTATATTGACTCCAAAAAAATCAATTTCCTTGGATAAAATATGGGTTATTACATACCTAACGATCCCAAAAACTATATTTACACCAACATGTGCCAATTTTTAAAGGAATTTTAATAATGCCCAAAAATTAGTATAATTAAAACATAATAATATTTATGTTATGGTGAAGAATGTTTAAAATTTGGACTAATAATGACTCCTAAAATAAATTTAACTATTGTAGGTCAAAACTTATATTATAAAATTTAAAGGTTATAACAAGGTGACTAGTTAGGACTCTAGGAGGATAAGACAATAATAGCTGACTGACATTAGATGTCAGTAATTGGTAGGTGTTATGTGACGATTGATGAGGAATATTGAAGGCTATACAAAAGTCAATGTTCAACTTAGTCATTCTCTTTATAAGTTGGGCAATCAAAGGGACTAAGAGGATTGTACGCCATACATTAATAGTTATTCAACATCAAAATTCAATCATTGGTAGGCATTAGGCTATGATTAAAGAGAAACATAAAAAAGTTGAGAGATGGTGCTAGTTAGATTAGTCATTCTCTTGATATAAAGAAAAGAGCACGGTTAAATATTAGTGGCAAACAAATGTTGGTAAGCATCACATGATAATCGATGATGTATGTTAAATGTTGGGTAATGATTGATGATTGAATTAATTATTTTCATAATAGGAGAGGATATAGGGAGATCGAAAAAATAAATATTATATTTCAAAGACTAAAAATTGTTTTACATTGGTTATTCATATGCACCTAATTATAATTGATGAAACAAAAGGCTAGGTGTCGGAGGGTGAATAATTGATGGTGATTGGTAGCCTTTTTGTGAGACTAATGGATAAAAAAGTCTATGGATATTTAGTTTGATATTTAGCAAAGAATTCTAAAATTTATGATGAAATGATGATGGTTTTATAGGGGTATATTAGTAAAAATATCAAGATTAGTCCAGTCTGGGATGGTTTGGCAAAATTTTGAAGATCACTTTAGAGAGTGACATTTATGTGAGATAAAGGATTGTTGATGATGGTGGAAAATTAGGTTGGGATGTGAACTTGTGATTTGGAGTTGATTGTAGATTTTGGTAAATTTTAAGAAGATGTTGAAGTATAGGAAATAAGACGAGGTTCAAGAGTTCTCTATTTGAGTTGATAACTATATTAAAATATTTAGAAGGGTTTTATGATTTTAGTTGCTAGTTTATTAGTCTTAAAGTATGATTTTGAAGTTGAGGAAGAGTTGTGAATATAGTAAAGTAGGTGTTTAATATGATTTGTAATTAACCTAAAAGAAATAAAGATAATACACACATATGAAGCCACCAAATGCCAATCAAATGAAGAGCATTTCTCCACGAAATTATTTTATTCAAAAATTGAAGATTATAATGCATATTAGCTCATATTTATAGGCATTACAAGACTAACTTAAAAAAAAAAGAGAAAATAAAAAAAGGGAGAGAAAGAGGGTTAGTGATCATCAAAGAGGAATTCTAACTACCTATTTTTTAATGCATCGTCCCTAATTAATCATTTTATAACTAACCGTACAAACTTCTAAATGAAAATTAAAATATAAATTACATTTAACATATCTAAAACTAGCTCTTGATTGGGATTATAATACCCAATTTTTTTGTTAAAAAGTAAGCATGCAATTTACCCTAATTGGGCCTTTTTCATTCATTTATTGAGCTTTAGTCTTAGCTATTGCAATTAAATTTTTAACTTAATTATCTACATGCACATTATGTGCTACGTCAATAGTCTTATCCCTCTTTTGATAGAGGAAGATTGAATGACTTGAAATATGGGCATCAATAATAGGCATTGGTTGATTTTAGATAAAAATTGGCTCAAAAAAAAAATTTTTTTTTTGATAGGAGAAATATGAGACATCTAGGAAGATGAACATTAGTTGTTGCTTGATGAAAATTGTTGAATATTAGTTGTTAACATGCATTAAATGATAGGTGACGAATGATGATAGAAGTCAAATAAAGTGGCCAACTTGGTCTTTCTCTCTTAATAGGAGGGGAGATTAAATAACTAGAAAAATAGATATCAAATGTTGATGATTAAGGGATCTTGGTCATTGAAAAGCGTTGAACGACGATGATCTATTGATGAAATTGGGCAATGGTGATAGCATGTAGTGCTTTATAATTATCTATATTGAGTAATTCTATCCACCAAAATTTTTTTCTTGGATAAGCGAAAACGTTACTTATTCATAGATTTTTAAAGAGGGCATTTCAATTTTTTTTTTGTCAAAACTCTATAGACTCCCTTGGACAAATTGAAAATTTTACATTTGACCATTTGATATATATATATATATATATATATAAGCACATGAAATTTAATGATGTTTGAACCTCAAATAGCCTATAAAAGCTTCTAATTACACTTTGAATGATTAATTTAACACTATTTGAACTCCTATTAAAGTGTTTTTAGTTTATAGATTTTGTCTTGTCCAATCACATTATCTCAACTATATATTCATTAAAAATGAAGATCATATATTCTTATAAACAATTCTTAAAATTTTTAATCCAAATATTGGGGCTTTGTATGCTGAAAATTGTATTAGAAGTTAGTGTCATACTCATTCTTCTTCGAGAGGTGCAAGTTTTTTTTTTTTTTTGGGAAAATTTGGGCTTAGCCCGTATATTAAAGGAAGGAAAAATAAAAGTTATAAGTGAAAAAAGAAACAAAAAGATCCCAAACTAAAGGGACAGCTAAGCTCAATCAGAGCTCAAAAAGAGCACAAAAAATGATCAACAGAGAGCAGTAACAAGCAGCAAAAAGAATAACAGAAATTAAACATAAATTCTTAAAAGCTCCAATTGCCAAAAAATATGGACTTAGGGATGTCATATAGAGTATCAGCCAAATCTCAAACCATTGGTTGCCCGAAGACCGTCCAAAGGGGAGTCAAAAAATTGGAGCCTCATCATTGTCCAGATGAGGCACAAAACCCAGCAGCCACATCCATGAAAAGCTTCCTGAGGCAGCAAAAAGGCATCTACGAAAAAAATAGCTCCAGCAACAACCGTATGAAGCAGCACAATAGATTCCAGTTACTAAAAAAACAACCATAAGTGGGTGATCCGAACTAAATAAGTTCCGGGAACTTAATGCAATTTTTCCACTTCATAACTTTCTCGAAAACAACTTTTTTGATACTTAATGAAGTTGTAATAGAGCTTTGAAAAAGAGGTGCAAGCTCGAAGTCATCTAATGGGAGAATTTTTCACTTAACATTCCCAAAAAATATGTTTGATTAGTTAGTCTTTCTATCATAATTATATAATATTTAAATTCTGAAATAATTTAACTCATTTAAATTTATAAAATTTATTAAGATTTTATTTGGGATGATTTTATTATTATTATTTTTTAAATAATTTTTTTTAAAATATTAAAAAATTTATAATAAAAATTTATTTTAAAAAACAGTAGCAAAATGGTGGAAAGGAAACCTAAGTTCTGGTTGGGCTGTCCTACTTGCAGCTTAACAGCCTAAGTTGGTCGAGAGCCACCAGTTTTTGAAAGCTCTAAAATCATTCAGCTGAAACGACCCAATCATGCCGGTAACGTTTTTTTGCTTAGGCTCCGCCAGGTGCTTCTCCTTTTGGTTTCCAGCCGCTCTACATCAAGCTGAGATGGAAATAGCCGTGAGTCCGACTATCAGCTCCCTCTCTCCGTCGTCGTTTTCTTCTCCGCGGGCTATCAAGTTACGGCGTGCTAGGGTTTCTTCGAGTCCAAGCAATTTGTGCCAGAAGGTGAGCTACTTTTTTTGTCTTTGATTACCGCACTTGTTAGCCATGGATGGCTTTGTGACAGATGGAGGATGCAAACTTTATTTAGAATCCCTGGTTTGGATTAAGTAATTTTTTTGTTATTCATTAGTAAAACTGACCTTCCATTAGTATTGATTTTGTATGTGATAACTGATTGACGATAAATCATTAGAATTTTTTTTTTTTGGTTAAATTATATGGTTACAAGATTCAGAAGCCGGAACTTCTGATAACTTACAACTGGGAAGCTTATAAAAAAGAAAAGGTTATTCATGATTCATATGCTTATATTCTCAGCGGGTTTAGGAATGAACATTCTTTGCTACATTACGGCTAATGGCTCTCCAGTCCATAAGCACCAATTTCTTTTGTAGAGATGCTTTGTTTGTTGCACTGGTTAGACTTCTCACGTACTATGCATTCCTTGAGTAAGGTAATTTGTTCTCTCTCCCTATGAATATAGGTACAGCTAATGCAGCAACGGCAGTTAGGAGATAGAAACCTTGAGGAAGCTGAGATTGCTGCAACTATCGGTGCATGCAGATGTTACAGAATACCTGATTTTTCTCAGAAGGTACTCTTTGATATGAAATCTCTGGGCATCCGACCTGGAGTTGCTACCCTGTCAGCTCTTTTGCTTTATTGCATGGAGAGTAGACTTATCGATGAAGCCGAGGCGTTGTGGTGTGAGATAATAAATAGCTCAATTGTGTCAGGCGTCGGGGTTGCTTCGTGTTTAGTAGACGCCTATGTGAGAACCAGAGAGTTTGGGGAAGTTATGAGGATTCTAGATGAAGCGGCCTCTATAGGTTTCAGTTTTGCTTCTCAGCTTTATTCTGCAGCTGTGAATTGTTTTGGGAGGGCTGGGCAGTTGGATATGATGAAGGCAGTTGTCAAGGACATGGTTTCTAGAGGCTTTAAGGTTGATTCTGTCACTGGAAATGACTTTCTCAAGTACTATAGCATGTATGGCCCCCTTATAGAGATGGAAGCTGCATATGAACAGTTGAAGAAATCGAGAATTCTTATAGAGAAAGAAGCAATCAGAGCAATGGCATTGGCTTATATAAGCCGAAGGAAGTTCTATGACCTTGGTGAATTTTTAAAGGATGTTGGACTTGGTAGGAGGAACACTGGGAACCTTCTCTGGAACCAGCTATTGCTCTCGTTTGCTGCCAATTTCAAAATGAAAAGCCTCCAAAGAGAATTTTTGGCAATGATTGAGGCTGGATTCTCTCCTGATATCACGACATTTAACATAAGGGCACTGGCATTTTCTAGAATGGGCTTGTTTTGGGATCTCCATTTGAGTGTTGAGCACATGAAATCCAAAGGTGTAGTCCCTGATCTTGTGACGTATGGTTGTGTTGTGGATGCCTACATGGATAGAAGGCTTGGGAGGAACTTGTCTTTTGTTTTAGACAAAATGAATGTAGATAGTTCTCCTGTGATTTTGACTGATCCATTAGTTTTTGAGGCCTTTGGGAAAGGAGATTTTCACTCTAGTTCACTGAGCCAGCGCCGCGATTTGATCAACAAGCGATTTAATATCGGTAAGATACTGAGTCATCGTAGAGGTTTTCTTGGAGATGTTGTGAAGCTCATTTTTGAGCTGTATCATTTTGGAGCGATTTGTGGATTGGAAGCGAGTTTCGAGTGCTGACCAGATTTTGGATGTGGAATCAAGATGAATGTAGGGTAATATGGATTGAGAGATAGTCGAACACAAGGCAGCGGCAAGATTCTGATCCGTTAACTGCCATTGTGTGTATTTGGGATTTACGGTGAGAGTTTGATCGGAGCGCTTGATTTGCTTTTCCGGGGGAGGAAGAAGGGGTTCAAGAAATTTGTCAAACCCGTTTGCCCGGAAAAGTTTGACGATCTGAGAACGCCATAGCATGTAATTCTCTGTTGAGAGCTGTACAGGCACAATGTTCTTTAAGTTTCCGACCACAAATTTTAGGGAAGAGGAGATGAAACCTTCTTCTTCAATCTTCTCAGCTTCCGTGTTCTCTTCCATTTGAGATGACGCCGCTGAGTTTTCCATCTTCCGATCTTGGCTTCACACCCGCTCTGATGGTTTTTGGCATTGCTTGAAGGTTTAGTTTCTTCTTGCTGTTTATTTTATTTCATTAACCTATTCATTTGTGAGATAACCTGTTTTTGGATATGTGCAACAAATAGATTTATAAATCCCACTTTTGGTATAGAGTTTTGTGCTCAGTGATACTGATAGTTGCAAACTCATTTGTAGTCTTATTGGTGGTCACCGTTAAATGGTTTTTGTTATATCAAAACCAAGTTTTTTATTTCTTTGTCCAATGGTCATCTTTAAAGATGGGAGCCTTCAGCAGTTCTTATTTAAAGCCATGTCTGTAGAAACCCACTTCTTGGTTTCTGAGAGGTTCTTGATCGAGAGGGAAAGAAACAGAGACAGAGGAAAAACTGTGTAAAAATATATTTCCAATGTTATCTAATTAGTACAGAGACCTATCTATATATAGAACTCACTAGGCTGTCCGCCTGGAGATCTATGCAAAGCTAATTACAGTAATGCCATAAAGTAAATACACATGATGTATATTAGGTACAGTTCTCTAACAATGTCCATCAAAACTGTTACATGAGGGCCGAGCTTCCTTAGAATGAGATTTCATTACTGAGCCAAAAGCTATATTAAAGAATGATTTACATATGGAAACATTCGAGGAAGCTTTATGCCTTTCTACAAATCTTAAGGAGACTATACTCCTCTGTTAAGCCTGTTGATCTTTCTTCATCCTTATCCACGCTATCAGGAATTGTATGTTTGTTCCTGTAGTTGATATGTTGTAGAACACCTTCCTGCATGTTTACATCCCATTTAACACTTATCTCACCTTTTCTGCTGCTTTTTCAGTATTGTTTGTCTTGCTTATGCTAGTTTTAGTTCTTTTGGTTTCTTAAACAATCATTATGGTTAATCTTGCTTATTGTGAACACGGCTACCTTCAAACTTGTTTAAAATTCTCTCACTCAAGCTAGAAAATAATTAAACTGAAATAAAGCACATAACATGCCATTAGATGACACTATTCTAAATTTGTTTTAATTAAATCAATAATGAGACACACATGAATCACATATTCTGATGGGTCAACATTTGTATCATAAAATTCCATCTAAGTGCTACCTGTTTTTACTCATCAACTGAAGTACTTACAAGGAAAAGGCTTAGACTTGAAATGAGGAATTTCCGACTAGGCTTTATAGGTCAAGCAACTCGCTCGAGAAGCATCATGTAAAAAAAATTGACTTTTACATTTGAGAGAGTGTTTGTGAATTTTTCAAATAGTTATTCATTCTTTCAATAAAAGGGTAGATGGTTCTCATAGCATATTCAATTTATGTTCTTTTTTTTAAAGTATGCGCTACATTTTTAGGCATTGAATTTGAGCAATTCAATATTTGTACAAGCCTTTTTTAGTATTGGTTATTATGATTGTTTGGAAACCATTTACTAGACTGTAACTGTTTGAGATGTGTAAAAGCTTAATGTGATAGTTTTTCAAGTGAATGTGCTATTATTGGAATGTGCTCGTGACTTTGCTTTTTTAAGTCCATTATTACTCACATTTTATTTGCTTGTGCGTGTATTATAGATCTAGGTACAAGGTAAGCGAGCAAGAATCTAACATGTGTTTCACACTATCCTTTGTGTTATCTCATATGGTTAGATTTTATTTAGGCGGATGTTATGGGAGAATTATTCTTCCATTTATAAATAAGGGAGTTCTTTTGTTCATTCTCATTCAACTCATTGACTTCTAATCCACGGTTCTGATATTTTAAGTGCGAAGGGAGGTTCTGCTCGCACTCATTGGCGAGCCATTAGTTCATTACATGTCTTCTATAAGTTCCATGTGTTCAATTTAGTATTCAATCTTGTTCTCATCTTATAGATTTGATCTGCCTTTCATTATTTTAATTTTAGTTTAATTCATTTAAATATTGCACTTATGCTAAAGAATCTTTTTATTTTATTTTATTTGGGTCCCGTATTAGTGCAAAATTCGACAACCTCCCAGAGTCTTCCCCATATAAATGCGTCATTAGTGCATGGGTCTTTGTGTAAATGTCTTGAATTTACAATATTTTTTGTCACATCAAGAAAGTCATGCATAGGTACACATATTTGAATTTCATCACCATCCTAAGAAAGTACGAACATGGCTTATCTATCGTGTTGTGAATGTTGCCTATGAGTTTCTTTCACTATTTTAAGAAAAGCACACAAAGATTCCACTCGTTGCACCAAACACATTGCGTTCAGGATTTTTTAAGGTTTTACTTTATACCTTCATGTCCCTAATGATGATGACAATGAGGCATGGCAAGCACATTCTCCCATTCACTTTTATCATTCTTCATTACCTCTGACCATACATGTCAATGACACTCGCTATAGTGTATGATGCGGCGCACATACGACATTGTGTGCTTGGTGTGACGTAGCACATCAAAATAGCGTGCCTGTTTGCACCATGCATGGGTAATGGTGCATGTCGCAAAGTGCGAATAATGCGTACAATTTTATTAACATGTTATAAATTTCAAATTATAAATTATAATTAATTTTTTTTAAGATTTATATATTAATATCACAATTAATTATTAATTAATAAAATATTTAAAATAACACGCACAACACCATGCTTTATGTGACTAACTCCATGGGGAACTTTGCACTAGAGGTGTCAAAATAGGGTTGCAGGTCAGTTTGGGTCGAACCCAGAATTAACTCGAAGCTATTTGACACGACTCGAACCTGAATCATTTTTGTAAATGAGTCATAAAATTCAACCCGGACCAAACCCATCGGGTTTCCTAGTTGACCCAACCTGACACGAAACGGGTTGTGGCCGAAAAAGCGCGCGAATGGGAGGAAGGCGACTCATCCATTGTCTCGTCAAAGCAGTAGGAAAGGAACTAGGAAGGAACATTGTCTTAGCCGGTGAAGAGGAAGGAAGGAATGTCATCGAAGTGAGGACTGTGCAGCTAGCGGCTTAGCACTTAGCCTAGGGTTAGGACTTCGAACCGAGCCTTGGCGACAGGACAGCATGGCCGTGGGATGGCGGGAGAGGCGGACGGCGATGCTGTCAGGCCGGGATGACTCGCGAGTGCGGAAGGAAATCAGGATTTTCGATTTCATGTACAATGGGAGTTGTCGGGTTGAATCTGGGTCATTCTCGGGCTTTTGGGTCAACCTGAACCTTACCTAATTTTTGAAATGGGTCAGTTTGTTGAACCCGAACCCGGCGGTTTGGGTTCTCGTGCACGATTTGAGAAATCGTTAGTGTGGGTATGGGTAGGGAGGTGCACGACTTCCAGTATGGGAGATTTCTTTTGTATAAAATAAGTCAACAATTATCTTTGTGGCCCTCATCACCTCCATTATGTTCATCAGTATCCTCTACTATTGTAACTTCACCGATTTCCTCAAAATGTATATGTACTTCTATGCCTTCTTTGTCCTAACCTCTATGGATGGCTTGATCCTCCTTTCTTTACTTTGACACTTCTCTTCCTCTAGATGTGCTATTGAAGATCCTCCTCTTACTCAATTTTTTTGTCATTGGTGTCCTCTCCATTTTCACGCATCGCCATCATTATGCACTAATCCTACATTATCTCCCTTGACATCGTTGTCATTATTTGGCTCGCCAAGCTCTAAAAGTGGACTGCCTAGACCCTTCTTGCTCTCATTGACTACAATCTTGGCAATCCTATGTTTCACCACTTATAGGCTCAAGAAGATGGTATATTGTCAACTGAATCTCTCCTATCGACTAGATCAATTATGAGCTTTTTTTTTTCAAATGCAAGTTGAGAGCTGCTGCCTCAAGTTTGCAGGGGAATATTACCATATCTATATTATCACATGTTCTAAATATTTATAGAAGGAATATGCAATTGTTACTATTATAATATATTTTCATTATTAAGGATATTCTTATTTATTGTGTTTCTTTATATTTCTATATTCTCTTGTTTATATATACACATACTTGCACTATCATAATCAATCAAGTAAAAGATATAAACCCTATGATGTTTTCTATCACGCTGAAGGAATGCTACTACTTCCATCCATGGCATTCACCCAATTATTTCACACAAGGTAGAAAATTTGATCTTATCCAATCCATTTAGAGATGATTTATCTAGTCCAGGCCTCATATGAACTCGCATGATTTTGATGTCATTGGAATTGTTATGGTGAGAAGATTGTTTTAACTTTAAGTTTGCACCATTGGAGTATGTTTGATCTCAAAAATAAATTTTTTATGTAGTTGTTTAAATTTCTTTTAGCACTTTGAGATTTAACCTAACTCGATGAAAAGATCTGATACATCACCAGACGTAATCAATGAAATTTTGCTATGATACAACAATGATTCAGATAAAGTTATTCCTTAAAATATACTCTATTGATTTATGATATGCTATACGTGGGAAACAATTGTATTCAAATTCTGCCCAACATTAATTTTTGGAACGTCATGTTTTTTTCTCATGAATAAAGTTGTAAGAAATGCAAACTTTATGAATCCAAAAAACTTTCACAAGAAAATACTTTTAAAAGTTGTTACATAGCAGCAACATTCTATGACTTGGCTTCATTATACCTACCATCTATTTCTCAGGCCACATTGATATCTCCTTCCAATATATTCCGCAGACTTTTTCCTTGGCTTCCTTATCAACTTTGCAACATGTGGGGGTCATCCATGGTATCCTGTATGGAAACTTGATTGTTCATTGGCGATTTATATGTGTTCTTTAGTGTACAGTACTGCATATTTTCTTCTCCAAGAGATCTTAGCCTATTGAGCTCTGGTAGTACCTCTGTGGCAAGGTCTGGCCGGTCCTTCCATAGGAGCGCTGCACACTTCAGTGCTATCTCAGCAAATTTCATGGTTTCCTCAATTGGCCAGTCTGTAACTGTTGCATCCAGTAACTCCAGGAAGGTCTCGTTCTCAATTGCACCACTAACATGGTTTGCTAACCCCATAGCTGGTTTTGCAGTGATGATCTGGAGCAGAATGATTCCAAGAGAGTAGATGTCAGATTTGACTCCCAACATGCCTGTCTGCTGGTATTCGGGATCTATATAGCAGAAAGTTCCTGCAGCAGAAGTCATCCGGTATTGTGTGACCCTGTTAGCAACTGAAGGAGGAATCAGGCGAGCAAGCCCTACATCACCAATTTTGCTCACATAGTTTTGATCAAGGAGGATGTTGCTTGGCTTCAAGTCTCGGTGTACCAATGGCTCAGGCTTTGTTTGATGCAAGAAAAGTAGGCCTGTGGCAATCTCTGCAGCAATGCGGAATCGGTGTTGCCAGGGGATTGGTTTAGTGTTTCTTCTTCTAAATAGGCGATCATCCAAACTACCATTTTTCATGTACTCATAAACTAGACATCCATACTCTGGACAAGCACCTAGTAGTAAGACAATGTGTGGATGCCGTATGCAGCTCAGCACTTCTACCTGTAAATGAGAGGCACTGAGAAAGGCTTTCTTGTGAAATTATCTCCAGTAACATTATTTGTGCAAAAAATTGATGGAAATAGTGGTCGTAATAAATTCTTTTGGTCTTTTGATTGTTCTCTACAGCATAGTCGTAGAATTTTCAATTTCACATTGTTATGAATTGTTGGTTTCCTTTATTTCTGATTTGTCAAGTATTAATCATGAGTTCTTGACTTTTCAACATTAAAAAGCTTAAAAAGAGGCCAGATGAATAATCGTGATATGGCTACAGTTTTACTTAAGGGATTATTTCACATTTAAAAAAAAAATATTTACTGTTTTCCTCGTCTAAGCATGGATATCAAATTCTACTGGTAATCTAATATCTTCCCTCTAGCAAGTGGAAAGTTCGTTTACTTCTCTTATTTTCTTGTGTTTAATCATAAAACTAATCTGTTATCTTATTCATGCATGATAATTTTTTTGCATCATCTATATATAGTACTATATTTTGCTGAGATTAAATATATAAGTTGTTTACCTCTTGCTGAAACTGTATTATTCCTCGTGCTGCATCTGGTCGTAGCACCTTAACTGCAATTGGCGTGTGATCTAGATAACATCTGTATACCGGACCATAGCCACCCTCACCAATTTTAAGGCTTTCAGAAAAGTGTTTTGTAGCCACCTCGATCTCCTCTATTGTGTACCTACGATACCTGACAGTTGGAACAAAGGTATCCAGTGCATTCTTCCTCTCCTCTGCCTCTTTGAAAGCCTCCATCTCTATTTTTCTTCTCTTCTGTGCTTCTAACTCTGCTATCTTCTGCTGTGCATGAGCAGTCTCCATGGCTGCTTTACATTTTGCCTTTTCCCTCTCTACGAGGGCCAGAGCTGACTCCTCTGCCAAGCGAGCTTCTTCCAGTTTGTGCTCCTCTTCTATCTTCCATCGGTCGAGATCATGGGCCTGTGATCAGGATTGGTTAGGAGATTGAATGCTAAATTGAAGTTAGATTTTAGAACACACTTACTTTCTGCTTTGCCATGAGTGCTTCTTTGCAGGCAGTGTTGTACATTTCCATGGTTTGCTTAAGCTCCAGCCTTAGTCTCTTCATTTCAGCCTCTACATCATCCTGTAAGTGTGTAATTCTTTATGCTTAGTTATTGTAATTGAAGCTAACATGATTAGAAGTTACTTGGAAGAATTATATAGGGTTATTTGGTTTATTGACATATTGATGTCTTTTTTTTGTTAGTTAAATACGTCATTTGTTTGTTTCCCCTGTATCTTAAATTGCAGTTCTGATAGCATTTCAACTTCTGATGGTTGTTTGAATGTCGGTCAGCATCTAAATTGAAAAGCCATCCTGAAGTTTCAATGATTTGAAGAAGAAAATGAAAATCCATAATCAGTATCAATAATTACAATAGCACTGCAAGAAGAACCAAACGAACTGTAATTTATAGATTGCACTGGTATCTAGATAGCAGCATGATCGTTTAGGTTTAATTCATATTAGTTAGACCTTGTCATTTTAGGAAAGGAGCTTTTGTCACCATAAATATAGGCTAAAGCTAACTTTGGATTTAAAACTGGTGTTAAAATTACAAATTGGCTTATCAGACTCAGTTGAAAACCAGATATAATAATATCTTGGCAGTATTCTCTCAGAATCAGTAAAAAATTGGCTTCAAATCCAAAGTTACTGATATGGATTTGCCGATTTATGATGTGAGCTAATTATTATCTCATTATGTCTCAAGACATGGGGTTGTTGAGCCTGATTTAAGGTGAAACTAGAAGGATTTGCCGATTTAGTGAAATCATGTTACATCAGAGCCATAGCAGTCTATTAAGGGATTACTAATGTTATTAGATTAAGTGGACAATTGTTAGAAGTGCTATTTTGTTTCATATTTATGTAAAAAAAAAAAAATGGAAACCTTTAGGCTATTAATAAACTTGCCCGAGTAGTTGGAGATGCCTGATAAAATGAAATAAGAAATAGTGGCCTTAAGTAGATGCAATTCTGAAATGAAACTACTGGTAGATCTTAATCCATTTGTAGTGTATTTACCATGTTTTGAGATGACCATGATGTAGTGCTGCCAGCCCCCGAGTTGGAAGAGAATTCATTTCCAAAGTAGTATGAATCCACAGAGCGCACTGGAACTGATTCAAAGCTGTGGTCATGGTCATTTGAATAATTGGTAAGCCTTGGTAGAAATGCTCTGTCAGTGCTTGGCCTCCCTAAGCTGACAACGGATATGTCTGTCTCAGTTTGTGAGTGATCTGCATATGACTTCCCATGGAATCCTCTTGTAAATGGTGATCTGCAGAGAGTAAGGACGTTACAATCATTGCCCGCTGGTTTCAAGACTTCAAAACTCAAATGACAATTCACCTTCTTAGCCACAAAACATGTTTTGTAGGCTTTTTGTTTCTGTTTTTTTTTTTCCTCAACGATTGATATTTTAAGCATATTCTGGATATTGGTGAATTTTGTCACATTGCCACTCAGATGCTACTAACATGTTAATTATAGCATGATCTGTTATATATTCTCAGAACTACCTGTCAGATTTCTAGTTTCATTATAATTTCCAGAGTCAGGTTTTTTTAGCCGAGTTTACCTAGAGGTTACTGTTACAGTGGTATGGATGTAATTTTATGTGAATGCTTGGGTGATCTCCCCACAGGTTACATTAGAGCAGTTTGAATTCGGACACTTTTAATGGCTCCCTATCACGTAGTGATATGCCTGCAGTCTCCGAAGTGCTGCAAAACTCAATTGCTAACCCTGTTTTACTTACTATGTCTAATCTTTACATCTTATCACCATTAATATTTCTTGACCTATTCTGGACATTGTTGAATCTCTGCTGCGTGTTGCTAATCAAGATTTAAGTTATGGCTACAACCTCTCTTTTTAATTATTATTTTCATGATAATTTCCATTTGCATTGGAGTTTTCATTTTTCATATTTTAGGACTAAAATCCATTTCCGTTGTTCACAACTTGCTCGCCTATATAGCTTTTTAATCCTATTCTCATGGTTAGTTATTATAGTTTTTGTACTTGCTTCCAAGAGCTAGATTCAAACCCCCTTCTCATTATCTCCTAAGCGAAGCTCTTTTTGAATTCAGAGAAGTTTATGAAACTGAAATGATCAAATCTCAAATGCATTTCGGACTCACTTGATTGATTCATCTTGTTGTAGGCATTGAGCATTGGGTGTCATGTTACCTGAGGATGGCAAGAGAAGTTTCAATTCAATACTTTCGCTAAGCAAACAAAGAAAATAAAACCAAGCCTCACATTTACCTTTGACTCCTGATTCATGTTGATGATGATCTATAGGATCTGGCTTGATATTAGCCTGGTTCTGTATTTGAGCTCTGAGTGGTGAAAGTATAGGAGCTGGCCTAACTGAACTCCGCACTGACTGTATCTTTCCCTTCGAGATAACATAAACCGTACAGAAATCTGGCGCCCCCTTGGAAATGTTGGTGGTGATATCCGAGCCTCTAAGTCTTCTAATAGGAAAGAATTCTCAATTAAGCTTTTTGAAAAATGTGTAGTGTTGTGCAAACGGTCGCTACATATATACCACAAATTTCTTATTTTTTTGCATTATATTTAACTTCCTAGTATCTAAATCAAGTAATGTTAGTGCTATTTTTTGTGTGATTTCAATAGGATAGATGCAAATCTCCCTTTTATTCTATTTTTTATATGAATGAGGAACCATTGAGCACCTCATTAGTCCATTGCGGGATGGAGCTCCGAGAACAAGCTTCTCAATTGCTGCATAGGACACGAACTCTACAATTGCCTTTGCTACATCATGGTCTTCAACGACCACATCCTTGCAGTTTATCTAGAAAATGTAGTAGATTTTATGTCAAGAAATATTATGTAAATTTATTAGTATTTCTGTTCATTAATGAGCTATTTTTCAGAACTTCAACGTTACTGACATCTTTTCTTGTGCAGAAACAGCGAAACGGGAGGAAGAGCTCCTTCATATGAGGTTCCACGGCTCCTTTGTAGCCATTGGATGGGTCATATTGCTGAGAACCTACAAAACATGGTATACCAGGCAAGTTATTTGGATTTCCTGAAGTGTTCTCATTTATAAATTGATATTTAAAATTCACGGCAAAAAATTTCCAGTTGATCATGAAAACAAATTGGAAAGTTCTATTTATTCCAGAACTTCTAAAGTTCTGAAAAATATTATTCTTTAAACTATACAACAATAACAACTAAGGTTATAAAAATCGGACCGGACATTGAACTGGAAGAAGGAGAGCTGGAGAGGTTCAATGTTCAATGATTCGACTGAGATTGAACCGGATGATATAATAAATATTAAAATTGTTTAAATCTTATTTAAATTAAATAATAATGATATAATAATCATGCAATACTAAAATTCGCGATTAAGAAAATCATACATAAACAATAATGATATATATCCAAAAAATTTAAAGTGTTATATATTAAGCATTAATAAATTATACCCACATGGTTCTTTCACCCCATGTGGGCTCTTAACCCATGGATAAAAGAAAAGCTATATACATCAAGGTTGTGAAAACCGAACAATGAATAAGAAGAATGAAAGGTTCACAATTCGACCGGTTTCGAATTGGACAGGATTCTATTTGGATGATATAATAAATAATAATATTATTAGAATTAATAATATTAATATAATAATATGACAATTTAACCTTAAACTTAATCACAAATTCATCCTATCATACATATCAAATATCCAAATTAAGAATGAGTTGGAAGTTTAAAATCATACTTTATAAATAATATAATTCTTATTTAACATAAATTATAAAATTAGTTTAAATATATATTTTTAAATTTAATATAAATAATTACTAATTTATGTTATATGTTAGATATAATTTATACCCATGA